ATTATTCATCAATAATTGTGATTATAGTGTAAATTTAGTATCCAAAATATTTGTGACGATGCAATCAGATTGATCCCTAGCATTAAGGTCTCATTAAAACTATATAAAATTAAACCCGTTTGTTTGCTAATAACTTAAAAACAAAATATACAATATAATACATATAATTGATAAATTAAATTAATGTTACGATTAGAATCGAGAGACTACTATATTGATATTTTGTGAAATTTTCAGGGTGAAGGCATATTGAATTAAAAGTAACATTTGTTTTAAAGTTATTTTTTTTTGAATGCCAAGTTAATAATTTAAAATAAAATAAATTTAAGTTGATGATTAAATGTAATAATAATATCATTATATATAAACAAATGAGTAGAAGTGAAGTAAACTCCCTATTGCCTTTTCAAACTATTGATTACACACGTACCCTACATCGCATGAAATGATAAAAACATGCATGATTCAAATTCCAAAATCAACCAACTGTCACACTGTTCAAAGTTTAAACTTGCGGTGCAACTCTAGCTAAATAAGACAAATTATTGATTTAATAATTATAAAATTTAACGTTTGACTCTCGATGAGTGTTATTAATTAATTTTATTAATTTAAGATGATTAACTATATGCAATTTAAGATGATTTATATTACAAGTGAAGTTTTATTTCTTGCATACTATCGCTAATGATGATAAGTTTTTTTAATTTATTGATTTAGTCGATGAGAAGTCTTAAAACTAAATTGACCTAATTTATTTTTTATATCTACTATCTACTTCTACTATACTAATAAAAGCCCAAGAGAGTTATGCCTATAATGGGTAGAAAATGTGTCCGTCACAGATTTTAATCAAATGAATGACTCAGATTAATCAAAAAATTGATCAGATTTAAATTTTACATTGAAATTTACTTAAATACCCACACACCGTTACTCAATCCGTTAAAATTGATTTGCACCGGTCTCTCTATGAAGAATCCTATCAACCTCTGTATAGAAGCATCAGTTAAAGGCTATGAGGATCTCTGGTAAGATTGGTACCAGGACTATGTGGTCTAATGGTACCCGGGTTGGACTTCCATTTGGAAGATTATGAGTTCAAGCCTCAGTGGAGGCGTTATTGGTTCTTTGTGTTTCAGTAGGTTGAGAAAGTATATGAACAGATACTACAGTGTCATAGAGCCAGTAACTTTCAAAAAGAAAAAAAAAGTAAAGTAATATGCATGCCTTGCAGTTACATTAACCGCTCAACAAGGCTTATATGTGAGACTCATAGAGTCGACTCATAGAGTCATAGGCAATCATAGTTAAAAGTTCAATGCAGCATAAAGACAACACTCAGATTGATCAGAAGATTAATCAAATTTTAATTTTACACTAAGATTTTCTTCAATACCCACACACGGTTATTTCCTTAAATACCCACAGTGTTACTTCATCTGTTAATAATTTAAGAGTCGTCGTTAAGTATACCTCTTACGCCAAATCTCGCCAGTCATCGTTCAGAAGGAATTTAGCCCTTGCGTCAAACCTCGCCGGTCATCGTTCAAAAGGAATTTAGCCCTTGCGTCAAACCTCGCCAATCATCGTCCTAAAGGTATAATAATAATAATAATAATAATTGTTTTAAAATATATATATATATATATATATATATATATATATATATATATATATATATATATATATATATATATATATATATATATATATATAATTAAGCCACTCATATTAACTACTAAAGCGATTTATTGACAAAAAGAGTATTCAAACCACACAACAAATTGAAGTGGAAAACTTTCTCGCAATGTCCTTGTTTGGCAATCAGCGGTTAACTCTTCAATATTAGTATATATTTAATATTTTATGTCCTAATTTTTATTTGTTCTCCCTTATGTCCCGTATTTGGTTTCAACCATACCTATACAATTATTTTATTGACAATTATAATCAATCTTGAATATATTATCTAGCATTTGTAAATTTAGAATTGCCTATGCATGAACAATTTCAATATAATCTTGCCTTGGTATACCTTAAAGTACTTATTTAAAAAAAAAAAAAAAAAAACATTGGGCATTATCCAATCGCGCAATGCGCGTAAAAAACTAGTTATATTATAAGTGTGAGAACATGTTTCATAAATTTCAGAGTTAATTCCATTAATGGTCCATTGATTATTGTTATTTAGCAATTTTTATCCTTAACGTTCAATTGGATCATAAATGGTTCATTTACTATTTATCTTTACTAATTTTCGTCATCGACTTTCAATTTAACTATAAGTGGTCCATTGACTTCTTTTTTTTTTTTTTGGTCCTCTAGTTAAATATCATTTTAATAAACATTAAATTTAAGGGTAATAATGTAAAAATTTTAGTTATTGACAATGATAAACTCAATGTATTAAATTTATGAACTCAATTTGTCCATATAAACAACAAGCAAATTTTTACATTATTATTCTTAAATTTAATGTTTATTAAATGGATATTTAACTGAATGCATAAATTTGAAACAAAATCAATAGTTAAGTGATCATTTTATGATCATATTGAAAGTTGAGGACAAAAATATGTAAAGATCAATACTCAATGGATCATTTATGATCCAATTGAAGTCAAATGATACAAATTGATAAGTGTCAATAATCCATAAGCTATTCCTGAACTTAACTATTTATATTACAAGTTAGGTTTTACTTATTGTATATTATCAAGTAATCATAATGAGTTTTTTTAATTTATTGATTTAGTCGATGAGAAGTCTTAAAACTTGATTGGTTGGATTTATCTACATCTACATCTACAATCTACAATCTTAATAAGAGCCAATAATGTTAGGCCCTTAACTGGAATAAAAAAAAAATGTCGGTCATAATTATTTCTTAAAATGAATGGTTCATATTATTTTGATTTTAGTATTTTTTTTAATGATTTTCCTTATTTACCCTTATATTATTTTATTCCCTTAAATAACCTTAAATTCCGTTAGTATAAACTTTCTTAACGGAATATTCCGTTAACTATTTATTATTCTTAACTTACTCATTAATTTCTATAAGAGATGTTTTAGGGTCGAACCACATCCCAAGTAGAATTGACATAATTGTTAAACATATACTACGAATATGTTACACAGTATTAAAAAAATAATATAAAATTTAATATAAACTTTGATCAAATAATATATTAGCCCATCTAAATACATAGCATTCAATGATTATAAACCAGGAACTTTGAAAATCATTTGATTTTCTTTCATTTAAAAAAATAAATAAATTTAAGTAAAGTTTTTTTTTCGCTTAATTAATCTAATTTTGATTATTGAGAACAACACTTAATATTTCAATTATGCTTTTATCAATGCGTGAAAACTTCTAAAGAATTAAAATTTATAAGTTAATTTTTACTATATTATTATAACAATATATATTGTAACCTTATATTACGAATTATTTATCACCATCCTCTATTGATAGTAATTGTCATTGACAAACTCTCAAAATAATTTGTCTCAACAACAAATGGAAATTAAAAAAATCAATGATTTCATTATTGTGGATGAAAAATATGTACGCCACTTTATTGCTCTTATTAAATTAAAAAATAAATTAGTAGCTACAACAAAAAATAATACATATGCTTTTAATTAATTTAGAATTAGATTTCTATAATGCCTCTATTTAAAATAAATTATTCATTATAAAAAAAAAATTAAAAAGAGATATAATTTCATTAGTTATATTATCTTTATTTTATACAACTCAAAGATTCCTTACCTTCAAATTTATTAATTTATTATATTCACTACATTATCTATTGTCTTCTTTTTACATTATCTGGTAATTAGGTATATATATATATATATATATATATATATATATATATATATATATATATATATTTACCAAGTATTTTATACAAATATAATAAATATTAATATTTTGTTCAATACTTTCACATGATAACTTATGACACACATCTCACAACACATGAAACATGTAGGGGAAATTAAACTACCGCTATCAAATATCAACATGTGCTTGTAAATAAAAAGTTCATAACACAACTAAAATCCCAGTCATATACACACCAAAGCAAATCTAAAGCTTCCTACATCATAATCTCATTACATGATGAATCATTCTATGCTACTAACAATAACCTAATTGCACATGACATACTACCAATAAAAAAAAAATATGTATTGAAGATGAAGACAATGACAATGCTACCCAAACGAGAATTAGAAAAATTTAAACCAAAAGTTGTATTTATTTAGACTATCACTTTTAGACTAAGTATTTAGACTAGCGTTATTACAAAGTTGCAAACATTTATTTTGGAATAAGGTTCAAATTGGTCACTGAACGTAACATGAAAATGCAATTAGGCCACCGCACACTCACAAACGTGCAATTAAGCCACTGAACACTCCAAATGTATGCAATTTCACCATATAGAAGGTTACCATCAATTGTAGCAGGTTACCTACTTACGTAACAGCTGAGTTGGCATTTTAAATAATTTTTAATCAATTTTAATAATAATTTTTTAGAAAAATATTGAAAAAATTTAAATAAAAAATAAAAAATAAAAAATAAAAATAAAACAGACGGGGTCGCCAACGGCCACCCCGTCATTTTTTTTTTTTTAAAAATTTATTAAAAATTATTTCGTTCAGTGACATAATTATATTTTCAGGTTACATTTAGTAGTCAATTTGAATCTTATTCTATTTATTTTTGTGACAGTTATATATATTCAATCTCTCATATATTATCTTTTGTATAATATTGCATTGATATATTTTAAAATATTTATTTAAAAAGAATCATTGGACATTATCTTATTCGCGCAAAGCGCGTAGAAAAACTAGTATTTTTATAAGTATGACAACATGTTCATAAATTTTAGATATAGTACGTCAAAAAAAAATAAAAATTGTTTAAACCTCAATTCCCAACTGCCTATCTGAACACAGATCCGTGAAGGAAACCTACAAAAATAAATAAAAAATAAATAAAAATCACCATCCCGGATAAAATCATCCAAGCTGCGAAGGTGCATTTGATTATAGGTTACAATAATTAAACCCCTTCATCTCTTCTCCCCCAATCCCCGTGTCCCCTTATTAGAATATGTATCTTTTTTTCCTAAAAATCTAAAAATGGACGAAGCAGATCGGGCTCAGTCAACGAGTCTTATCGTACCGGTATCGGAAACGGCGTCGGGTTCGGGGGTGCGCGAGGCGGAGGAGGTGGACGATGACGATCGGCGACCTCCTCAACCCTTTCCTCAGCGTAGCACCGCCGTATACGACGATCGGCGACATCCTCAACCCTTTCCTCAGCGTAGCACCGCCGTATACGACGCTTATCCTCCACATTTCCAGCCAACAAACAATGATGAGACGGTGCAATCTTCCTCAGACGACACTTGGTCTTGTGTTGTCGTTGTTACTACCTTCTGGTTCTTCGGTAACTTTCTGCAAGTATTTGACATAGTTTATGGTTTTTCGTACATGTATGTATTTGCTTGGGTTTAATAATTCAATATAAGTATACTTGTGTATTGGTATTTGGTAAGGTTGATATTGATATGGTTTGGTAGTTGAGAGGAGGAAATGCTAGAAATATTTTGAATTTTGAGAATCAAATTGGAAAATTAGTATGACTTGTGTTGGTTACAAGCATAATATAATAGCGATGAGAGAAACGTTAGGGGGGATATGCACATTCAGCTAGTGATTTTGTTCCTTTACAGGATGCAAAGTGTTTATCCCGAGTTCATTGCTAATAGTTCAACATCTAATCTTTGCTTATAGAACAAGTATTATAGTTCAGTTTTGACCCAAGTCATGTAGGACAGTAGGAGAAGGCTAGAAATCCTCCTCTTGGGCATTTATCTGCTGATTAACATTTTAGACTTTAGAGCTTGATTTGCTGAATATTTTCTTTTTAATTTTTTAACCAGTGTCTATGACTTTGATATGGGGGGTTTATGGGACATCAAATTTGCAGCTTGGACCAAATTCATCAATTATGATAAAACCTAATCCATTGTTTGTGGAGCAAATAACGGTAACTTAGTTTATCTCTCATGCTCTTTTTTATGTTAGATGTTTGCCGCATTCTGTTCAAGCATTGGTTTGTACATTCCAGGTGGAGGAGATAGATAATGCAAAAGGTGGACCAATGCTGTATGGACTTTACAGAAATCCCCCCCTTGATATTGTGGATACTTGGTCTGAAGCTTATAAAACCTCTCTCCCAGCAAACACTCACAAGGCAAATTCTGATTTTAGTTATCTGAACTACTTGATTGATGCTAGTAGCCATGGTTGGTATATTGACAATGTTCTGTTTGTACTATATGTAACAGGAATGGACATATTATTTCAATGCAGGATCACAAATAAGTATTTCATATAATGTGAATTCACTCAGTTCATCTTCTTTAGTCCTGGTAATTGCCCAAGGTAAGTTTGAACTTTTCAGTAGAACTGCTTCTGTAATTTTTTATTCTCTTCTGTCCATGTTATTTAGTAACTTGAATCTATTAAATGGCTATTAATATAGATCATTTACTTAATTTATGGCATCAATAATCAACAGTTAACCTCAGATGTTCATATATCACCTAACAAAGGTCAGGTTCCCTTTCCATTTCCTTACGTATGAAGCAAGGGAATTCTGGAAAATTTGCTTAAGTTATTTTATTAATTAATAATAGATGCATGTATGTATAAAAGGATATCCATACCTAGATAGGACTATAGGAGACAGGAAACAAACAAAATTGACCCTAAAATCAACAATTAATACATCCAAATCACCAGAAAACTGTTAATTCTCCTTAAAATAGAGGCTACATAACCCCAACTTGCTAAAGAATAGATATCAATCATTCTCAACTTGCTGAGGATAGATTCAAATCCTTGTTTTAGCATTGATTTGGTGAGGATATCTGCCTTTTGGAGTTAGGATGGTATAGCGCAGGTCAATTCCACTATATTCAGCTTCAAACAATGAAACGTTTGCTGATTGTCATGTGCTTCTTCCAATCATGTTGGAGTGGATTTTTTTTACGATGTTGATAGGGGATTTACTATCACTATACAGCTTGGTAGGACTTTAGTTTGACATTTACAGATCTTCTACTAGCCTTTGCAGCTAGATGACTACACACTGTGGCTGACCCAGAAAATTCTCTCAGTGGGGGCGAAAACTAGGGGTGTAAACGAGCTCGAGCTTGTTAATGGAAGCTCGGCTCGAGCTCGAGTTCGATCGAGCTCAAGAACTGATGCTCGAGCTCGAGCTCGGCAATTTTCGAGCTGCTCGAACTCGATCTTGAGCTTTTTAATTGTTATTTTTATATATTATAATTATATTATGTTATATTATATATTATAAATATTATATTATACGGCTCGACGAGCCACGAGCCTAGAATATCTAGGCTTGGCTCGAGCTCGATTTTGACCGAGCCGAGCTTTGACCAAGCCGCTCACGGCTCATTTACACCCCTAGGCGAAACATTAAAACAAAATGGATAGCTTAAAAAAAGTGAAATACTTAAAAGAAGTTAGCCATAAATATTGTTAGATAGGAGCGAAAAATAAAACACATCAAAACTTTATAGAAATATTTATAACAAAATATGAAACATAATTAATTTGATAAAATAATTTTAATAGAAAACACATTATAAATTACACATCTCATTATTAATATAAAAGTGTGTGTGTGTGTATATATATATGTGTGTGTGTGTGTGTGTAAAAATCTTAATTTGTTTTTTGGAAGCCTCAAAATTAATAAGACTGTGCTGAAGCCACTATATTCAAATAGCAATAAAAACTACCTTCAAGCATAATCGAACCCCTGACCTTCCTACCACTAACACGCGCACCCTGCCATCTAGGCTAGCTCATTCTTTGTTAAGTGTTAACATTAGCTGTTTTCTTTTACTTATACTAAAACTTGTACTATATATACATATATATATATATATATATATATATATATATATATATATATATAATGGTTATATATGGGGTGGGGGTGGGGTGAGTGGGGGCAGCTGCCCCCACTGTAGGTCCGCCCATGACTTCACATTCCTTCAGAAATAACTTGGATTTCAGACTCGGCACTTATTTAGAAACTACTGGTTGTTTCTTGCTCCTCCACAGGACTAAGGTCGTCTCATAGTTTCATGTTGTAGCTAGTAATGCCCATGGTTCAGTTCAAACTCGTTACTGTTTTAACTGAAACCTTAGTTGGGATCTTATAATAGGTTCCTATATCTGAGTACTAATATTGAAATTGTCTCATTTGAACTAATTTCAGAACTGTTATCGTAACTGGGTACTTTATTCTTCCCGATTGAACCTGGAATCGGAACCGAACTTTGGCATGACTAACAGTAGCCTAAAGTGGATTCATCCGTCCATCCCATTTAATGTCTGTGTTCCCCTAATTGAGCTACTTTTTTGGTTTTCCCTCTCTCACCTTGGTAAATGATACTCATGTGTGAGAATGGTTTTTTACCAAGTAATATACCACAAGCTTAATCGAACTCTGGATATAAGCTTTGGAGAAAATCAAATATGTCATCCTTCATAAGCATCTAATTGTGTTTTGCTCCATTATCTGGATAATATTATGCCATTGTCACCTTGGCAAGTGATATGAATCTCGAATGGATTTCAAAGCATTATGAGGTGCTCTCAAGGTCTGAGTATATCTTTTGGACAACATTCCATCTCCTTCACTCTTTATAAATGAGATAGGTCCTTCAAATGATTGGCTTTATTTTGTTGATGAGCCATTATGATAGAATTTTCAACTTTACACGTTCCATAATTTGTTGCTATCTCTGGAGGTGCAGAAGTTGCCCCATGAGGTAACTTGGTTTTCCTGTACCCATAATCACCAACATCATCCACTGTAATCACTCCATTCAATTTGTAAATAGTACTTTTCACCAGTAGAGTGAATCAGTGGTTGGGATCAATTTGTAGACTTGGAGATTGGTTTGTATTTTAGCTATCTCATTTGGTGCTCAGCAAAATACGAAGCAAGAGGTTTAGATAGCTCCAGAGAGGAGACCCTGGGCTTAGATACCATGAAGCGAGGACATTTTGAAAATTTTGCTTCAGTTATTTTATTGATACCAGATGATTGGCAAGCAAGAAAACAAACAAATCTGACCATAAAGTCAGCAAATGATACAACCAAATCACTTGAAAATTTGGAAACTATTAATTGATTCTCCTAAAATAGAGACCACAGAATCCCAAGGGACCAGTTGATCATTTCCTTATGAGGAAGGGTAGGGGGTACCTTGCTAAACCCTCTTTGAGCAATTCCAGATGTCATTAATCAGGTCTTTGTGTTGCAGATAACCACTACATTAAAATAAAGTCGTTTCTGTTTGCTTTACAGCATAACCCTGAACCTCTTCCCTAAAAGTTGATACATTGCAGGAAGTGAGGGTCTAGCTCAGTGGCTTGAAGACCCATCTTATCCAAATGGTGCCTTTTCATGGAACTTGATTCATGGTGAGAAAAGAAAACACAATAATGTTCATATGCATTTTCCACATGCATTGCTAAAACAAAATAAAAAAAATAAAATATGTAAGTCGTTTGTGCCATAAACTGTTTATTTTCAGGAAATGGCACAATCCGGCAGGATATACTCAAGTCGTCTAGTTATCATGTTGCAGTGGGTAACTTAAACTCCGAAATGGTAGAGGTAACTAAGCTATCTTTACATGTTTTATAACCTAAAACATGCACTAATCAATTAACTATGATATTGGACTCTAGTATTACTGTTCTTGGACCAAGGGTCTTTTGTTGTCATGCAATCTAATCCAATGGCATTTATTCAATATTCTCTATTAATATCTTAGCTGAATTGATTAATCTGATCTGATTTTAATAGACTTGTAATGTAGCATTGTTCTGTTTAGTATTCTCCCGAGTGTTTCAGACACTTTTTATTTTTATTTTGGGATGTGGCGCAGGTGCACTTGAACATCATGATAAAGGCTTTTCTCTATAGTACTAATGAGGCTTACTACAAATGTAGAATCACACAGAATCAATGTGGGTTGAGTCTTTTTTTCCCCGGTGGAAATGTTGCTCTTCTGACATCTCCTAGCCAGAGACCAGTATGTCTTCAGTTTTCTTAATATTTTGAATATTTTAGGTTGACCTTTTAGCATAGTCTTTGATTGTAGTAAAATCATTTTTCAATTTCTTAGGATACAGCTGATAGTGTGTGGACTGTCAAGCTTTCCTATGGACCTCGATGGATCACATACTTTCTTGGCATAGGTACATTTCCATCTTCCCATATTGAACAGGAAAATACATTTTCTACTCCTACTCTCAAATTCTTGATGTGAACACTTTTCTAGGGACCCACATGATGAAAATAGCCCATCATTATTTGCCAGTAAAAGTGAGGGAGTAGAATCTAGAAGTATCCATAGTAGAACTCTATTGAACAAGTAACAAAACAGTAAACTGTACCTAAACTTTCCAAATATAGGTGGAACGTGTTTTCTTGTGTTCCTGGCCCAGCGTATCCTAAATAATCTGCATCGTAGAGCACAATTAGAAGATACTGGATCTGAACGGGTCCCTATGCTTTCGGACAAACAAGATGACAACTTGAGTTTGGGTTCTTCTTACTGTTCTCTTTCTCAAGATGATGAGGATGCTGAAGAGCCAACAAGCAGCAGTACGCTTGATGGGAAGCCAGTAAAAGACAGTGAGCAGAGCGATATGCGTCATCTCTGTGCAATTTGCTTTGATGCACCAAGGGACTGTTTCTTCCTCCCATGCGGACACTGCTTGTCCTGTTTTGAATGCGGAACCAAGTATTTTTTTTTTTTTTTTTTTTTTTTTTTTCTGAAAAACAAAACCACAAATTTATCTCTAATGCATATATGTAACAGGGAACATGGCATTTATATGTGCATTGATTTGTTGAATTGCCCATTGCAGGATAGCAGAGACGGCTGGTACTTGCCCTGTATGTCGCAGGCGCATGAAGAAGGTGAAGAAGATATATACTGTTTGAACATCCCTTATGGACTTGCCACCTCTGTCGCCAATCTGCTGTGTATATACTGTTTGTATCATTGTATTCTTGTCAATGTGATAGGCAGGCCCTCTGCCCTTTCCGCCCACCGGTAGCCTTTTCTTATAAGGGAAACACGTATTTTTTCTGTGACTGACTTGAATATTTGAAGCTGCGCCCAACGTCGGACGACTTTGTACTTCTCAGTGATAGTGAGGTGGTTCAAAGATACCAGGTTGGTGATGATAGTTAAACGATGTATATTGAACTTGTAAAACCCCTAGTATTTTTTTTTTTAATGTTATCCTGCAACGTTTATTTGTCTTCCCTCTAGTACACTCAAATCTTAGTGGTCGTATTTGACCTACAAAGTACTAATTTGAGTTTTGGAAAGAAAAAACCAACAACTTGACCCACTAATTCAAATGAAAATTTTACATCAATTGGTTTTGGCTTGACGTTAGGTTGGAAAATATATATTTATTTTAAAGATTAATGTGATTGTTTCTGGCTAAAAAAAAAAAAAAAGGTCTTTACTCTTTATGGTGGGTCTTTTTTTTTTTTTTTTTTTTTTTTTAATTGAGATTTTTGTTAATAAAAAGTTGGAGCCCATCAAGTAGCAATTGGGCTATTCGAGCTTATTTGCTATTAATATTTTGGGCCATAAGAGTCTGGTTTTGATGTGGAAAGGACGGCAAATTATGTTGTGCAACCGTGTGTACCATGCATGGTGCATACTATTTTATGTTCATAATTACTGAACTATATGTTCATAATTATAAAGTTATATATTCTTAATTTTTTAACTTTATATTCATAATTATTGAATTCTATATTCACAATTATAGAACTCTGTGCATAATTTTTTATGTTCATATTCCTAAGTGTTGAACTTTGTATTTACAAAACACAGAACTATATGTTCATAATTTGATAACTATACAATTTATAAATGGTGAATCTACAGCACATATATAATGAATTTGCATTATAGAAATTATAAATCTACTATATAGAAATTATGAATCTACTGTATTTAAATTATGAATCTACGGTTTAAAAATTATGAATCTACAGTATATAAATTATGAATCTATAGTATATAAATTATGAATTGGAATCGTGTGCACCTTGCTTGGTGCACACAGTTGCACAACATAACATTCCGGAAAGGACTATCACGGATTACTTCACCAATCACAAACATTGTTGTTCAACCTGAAAGATGATAAAATTCTTGAAGATTCACATGATTTTATGGCTATTTGAAATGGGTAAGAATACTTTTCACGAGGATACAATGCACTCACTTGTGGAGTGTAAGTTTGCCAAGTTTGTTTGGCATGAGTCCCATCTAGTCATCTACTGGTTTCTCTTACTGGGGTTTCAAAATGCGATGGCTATGTTAATTCTTGTTATTATTGTCAAAGTTGTTGCGGTGCTTTATCATATATGGGTGGCACGGAATGAGGCCGTATGAAATGCATGCTTGCAAAGGCCAATGCAGGTTTGGAGGCTGTCCGTCAGTTCGATGGCTGCCTGAGAGAATGCTGTTGTACTGCCATAATCGCCGCAACCACTGCCCGGCGCAGTCCAATGCTTCTTCGACGCTGGCTATTCCTCGGAGACTGGTTATGCTACGTACGGTGTTGTACTTCTTTCGGCCGAAGGGAATTTTTTGGCAACAACGAATGGGGTCCTACCGTACTGTGCTAACCCCCTAACGACGGAGTCGTTGGCATGCAAGGAAGCTCTCTCGTGGTTACGTGATCATGGAGTTGATAATGTTACCACTGACTGTTTGGTTCTCCACCGCTACATCATAATGCAGCTACTAAGCCAAAGGTCATATGTTGGAGTTATGATTGACGATTGTTTACGTTATATGTCTTCTTTTACTACGTGTTCTTTGTTTTTAATTTCTAGACAGTTTAATTTAGTTGCTCATTCTTTAGCCGCTAATGTGGCCTCTCAGGCTAGTTCGATGTATTGGGACTCAGTCCCCCTGACTTTATTCTGCCTCTTTTGAGTTAATATATTCAAGTTCTTGCTTGCTTTCAAAAAAAAAAAAAAAAAAAAAGAAATGGGTAAGAATGAGGAATTTGTAGAACATGTTGAGACAACTAAGCAATGTACCATGGATGGTGATGAGAGACTTTAATAATATTCTTTGCGAAAAATGATAAAAGAGGTAAAAAAATTTACCCAAGCCCGCTTCTAAGAGGTTTTAAGGACATCACCAACTATAGGCTTAGAGAGTAGCCTAACTAGCTAACTAACGAGAGAACGATAACAACTCTTTAACCTCCCTCTCTATTTAGAGAGCACCCAAGTTAAAATATTTGAAAAACAATATAATGTTTATACTATGTTACTTGGTGGCAATAATCCTTTGAAATTTTGTATAAAACTAAATGTTAATGTTGCAAACTTTCAATCTAGAAACATAATAAGGGTTTGGTTGCATCCTTATAGATAGCAACTGTTTTTTTCATCGTTGCCAGAAGCATATAAAGAATTAGGGCCTTTACATCCAAAGAAGTTGAAGTGATGAGTGATGGAGGCCTAAAGTTGGGTTAAGATTTACACTATGATTATATTCAAATTGAAATTGATGCTTTGCAAGTCTTCTCATGAATCCAAATTGGCATCTATCACTCTTCGTATTGAAAACGTTAAAGAAGTGTTGATGAGGAATTTTTCCTTATATTACATAATATTTTTTAAGTAATATGTGCACTATATTACTCAGTTTCTAGCTAGAGAACTATGCTCTCTGTTAGGATGTAGGGTACGATTTTTCATTCATCCGTCTTTTATTGTTAATGCTCTTTTGTTGATATTGAAACTTAATGAATTTTCTATTTGTTTATTATTTACTAATATGAACTTTGGTTTAGTGTTTCCTTTAGAGTAAATACCCAAAATGGTCCCTCGACTATAGCTAAATTCACAAATTGATCCTCGACTTTTAATTTCAACCAATTAAGTCCTTAACTTTGCAATTTTGACACGATTTGGTCCTCCATCTATTTGACCGTTTGTTGGCCGCGATCTTTGAGGATATATATGTAGTTTCACGTGCAAAGCTCAAGAGAACGCTCTTGGAGGTGACATCGTTGTTTCGGGGGCGGAAGTGCTTCTCCGCTTGCTGCTTGGGGATCACTAGCCGGTTCAACTTAAAGAACGCTCTTGGAAGTGACAGACTGACAGCGCCGTTTCGGAGGGGGGAAGTGCTTCTCCGCTTGCTGCTTGGCGATCCCGAGCCGGTTCAGCTTGCCTGCATCGCTTGTAGTTACGGCTTTCTCGAAGAGCCACTCCAGGGACTTCGACGATTTATCTATCAAAAGCTATAATCTCTCCGGCATGGGGTGCAGTGCCGACAATGGATTCAAATGTAACAGTGCGGTCTAGAAATGCAACCGGATCCTTAAAAAAACCGACGATGGACCATGAAATTACATATATATCCTAAAAAAACGTAGTCAACAAACGGTCAAATAGACAAAGGACCAAATTGTGTTAAAATTGCAAAGTTAAGGACTTAATTGGTTGAAATTAAAAGTCGATGACTAATTTATGAATTTAGCTATAGTCTAGGGACCATTGTGGGTATTTACTCTTTCCTTTATATAGTAACTGAAAACGTGTAATTTTATTTTAAAAATTTGTTTGAGTTGATAGAAATGATTGAAGTATAAAATGATATATATATATATATAGAGAGAGAGAGAGAGAGTATAGAGAGAGAGAGAGGTGATCACATGTGGTCATGTTGTTAGGTGTGGTCGTGTGACGGAATTTCAGAATACACGAATAGTTAAGTAAGATATACACCATCAACGTCAGGAAATGCACCACAAGAAACGCACACAAATTAGGTACGCATCAACAACAACACACCATAGGTGTGAGTAAAAACACCATACAGTGTTCAGAAATACACCATTGGGGTTGGTGAGTTATATGGTGTATTTTTTGGGTCTGTTATGTTTTATTTTTTTTTTATTTTTTTTTATTATTTTTTTTTTTTGCATTTCGCTGTGGTGTGTTTCCCTTACACTGTTGGTGCATGTTGTTAACATTGTTATGAAATTTCGCCACACGATCATACCTAAGAACATGACAACATTATTCTCTCTTTCTCTCTCTCTCTCTCTCTATATATATATATATATATATATATATATATATATATATATATATATATGTATGTATGTATGTATATAGTGTGTATCATTTTAAGATTATTGTGTGAGTGGTAATTTAATTTGTTTTATGAGTTTTAAATTTATTTGAGCATCATTTGTAATTTGTATATTTTAATTTAGTGATAATGGAACTTTCAAATTATTAAAAAGACGCTTTAAAATTGTGTTTCATTATGTCCCTCTCATGTTTTTTATTTCGTTGATGAGTTATCTTTTATCTTAAAAAAAAATTAGACATTTGAACTAAAAATGAACAAATTAGTGATTGACCCACTCTATATATATATGTATTAAAAAATAACTATATCTTAATTACGAAAGTTTTCATTACTCCTATCATGAAGTATTGATAAAGAAAACAAATCAATTATCATTCTTTAACGATTTACTATAATGTTTAATAATTTAGTTGTACTAGGGCATAGCTATTTATGCCTTTTTTTTTTTATAAATAATTTTAATATGTATGGATTAGTGACTAATATGTTCATACTAGTAATTCACCCGCGCGATGCACGGGAAAAAAATTATGTTATTATAAATATAAATAAAAAATAGAAAAACTAAAATATTTTAAATTATTTAATATAATAATACTTTTGAGCTTCCATTGGTCAAAGTATTTATTATTTTTATAGAATACAAAATTACAATTAAAATTAAAATTATAATTTTGTATCGTTAATATAATCTCTAATTATGTGCATATTCAAATAAACTTATAGAGAGAATTTACATAATTACATTGATTTATTCTTAATTGTATTTCATCTATATTATAATTTTCACAATACGAATAATAACTAAGATAATTACATTTGGAAAACAAATTTCAAATTTTGTATGTGTAAATTTAAACTCTAATTGAACACATTTTTTATATGATTATATAATATATAGCTATTTTATTTTTCAAAAGTATATTTTTTATATGATTATATAATATATAGCTATTTTGTTTTTTAAATGTTGTGTGTTTTTTTAATAATAAAAGATGTTGTGATATTAAATGTAGCATTAATTATTTCCCAAACCATATAGCTTTATTATATAAAGGATTGGGTAAAAAAAGAAGAAGTAGAAATGATAAAATATAAATTTATTGAAATTATTA